TAATCCTGTTCACTGCCTGAAAGTGAGGTAAATGTTTGGGAGCGGTAGGCACCTTTTTAGACTTCCCGGGAGGCAAATGTACAAACGACTGGTATGGTGAACAACTGGAATTTCTCTATATTTAGTCTTTCTGGGAGTAGTGCGGAGTAGTTGGTTATCTGTACTTGCATTCTGAACTCCAGTCCTAACCACTTTGTTAGTTCTTGGTTATTTTCTATCTTTCATTTACACATTACAGAATTGCTGGTTACTGATGTGTAAATTATGATGTCAAAACAGAACCAGGGCTTCCTTATGCTGAACTGCTGGATATCATTCTGCATCTTAGAGAAAAAAAAAGCTGTAGGACTGGCAACAAATTCTGAATTAAGTATTTAAACTGCCTTAAATGTTACAGTGATGGCAATGAATAGATTCAGGAGGTTTAGTTTCAGCAGTGATCAAAGTTGCTATAACATTGAAGTAGTCTTCTCTCTCATTTTTTTTAATTAAGAAAAAATAACACCTTGTGATGCTGGTGCACGTTTCATTTATAATACTGTGGCTGCCTACTTGCCATGACATGCACTTGACTTCTAGTCGGTGTTGTTGCTCTGAAAGCAATTTTTATTTTGAGGCTGTGTTAAAATATATTCAGCCTTATATTTCAAAATGTACATACTCATTTAAACTATGTATTTGTTTGTATAACAGCAAGCCCTGTTAAATTGCAAACAAAAGAGCCACCTGTAACAATTCCCATTAACATGTGTCCAAAGAAATTAACCTCAAATAAAAGAGATGCTCGAGTGGGGAAAGGCGTGTGTCTGTTTCTGCTTTAACTTGACAGACCGGTGACCATGTACACCCCCTCACACCGAATGCCCATGGTTATATTTTTGTTTATTACCTGCATGTTGGGGAAAACTTCATTTCTCACAAGCAGGAAATGCAAAATGCTCTCGTCTTTTAAAGCAATACCAGTCAAGTTCAAATTAGTGAAAACTGTAGAATAAATGTGTTTCCCAAATGCAGCATATTCAACCAAGAGATTTCCTTTGGGTATCAGATACGCATGTGTTGTCACTGGCTTTAGAATAAATTGATAAAAAAAAATGGGACCCACGTAAAACATAAAGGGGTTTATTCGTTATAGTAACCTTGTGTATTCTTATTTGGTTGACCCCATTTATTTATTTATTAGTTTAAAGGAAAATGAGTTGGCTAAAGGCCTGTGACTCTGAGAAAACATAAATTTTACTGTGTTTCTTAGTATTTGCGTAACTTAAAAAGTTACTAAAGCAATTACTAATTTATCCCCCAAAATAGATTTTAAATTTGTGTATTTGATTGTTCTAATATAGCCAGTTTATTTAATTGGCTGTAATATTTGTCATACTTCTTAGATATATTTAATTACTATAATAGAGAAGACACTGGCCTGTACATGCTTTAAAACTTGCATGTTTGTGGATGGTAATGGCATTCATTTGAGAATATATAAGGCTAAAGAGAGGTTTTCTTGCCATTACTGTTTAGCTTGATATTGTTTCAGTAATCGAATTTGTAACACAGGGGTGTCTCTGATAAATGGAGGAGAGTATAAGCAATTTATAAGGGGCAGTATTTCTTTTTCCTTTTTAAATGTATAAAGGAAAAACATATACACATATTCATACACATACATGCTTTTTAACTTCTGGGAAGAAAACCTGGAGGAGAAATTATTTTGAATAACAATAATGATAGCAATTTAAATATTGTAAAATGCTGCACCCTAAAATAAGGATACCATTACCAGCTCTTTTAGCTTTACACTGAAAACATTTTTGTTTAGTCATTTGTGGGTTGTTTTTGTTGTTGGTTGTTTTTTTTTTTTTTGGGTTTTTTTTGGGTTTTTTTTTTTCCCTTCTTTCTTAAATTTTCTTACCATCATTCTTTGTAAAGTTTACGTTGCTTTTATGTCTTAGCCGCTGTGGTTGTACTTAATTTGCTCATTTTGTGGGTTTTTTTGTGGTTTGTTTTTTTTTTTTTCCTAGGAAAGTGAGGGAGAAGTAGAATTGTTGCGTTTCTGGGCAGGATGTGCATTGAACCATTTGCTACGCGGGGTATGATCAGTGTTTGGCATACCTATTCTAGTTCAGGCCTGTGTATGGATTGTCACTGTAAGTTTTTCTTACAGGTCTTTTAAAAGACCTTTCTAAAACATTCCAAGTATTTGCTGCAAAAAGAGAAATCTTTTGATAGTAATCTACTGGATGTAAAATCTTCCAGTGCTAGAGCCTTGCTACCTGGTTCAATGTACCTAATTATTTGTTTGTCGAAGTCTTCGTCATGGACAGGCAAACACGAGACGTGCATGCACTGCGTTGTGCTGTGCATGATACTCAGTTTCATCTGTTAAAAGAAGAATTGATTTTAAATGGGGGAATTATTGCTGTTCAGTAATCCAGTTCTGCAGCATTACTGCTGCGTGCTCCACGTATTCTGTTGCAAACGCATGCAGCGTATATGCTGTATGCATGCTGCATCTTTCTATTTCTTTCTGAGGGTATACGTGATGCATGGAAACTAATTCTATTCTAACAAAACCAAGTAAACATCCCAAATAGCAATGATCTTTCTCAACTCAAAGTGGCTGCAAATCAGCTCCTAAATATTGTCACTGAAATTGATATCTAGATTTAATAGTTCTTGCCAATCCTAGAAATGTTTTTGAAAAAAAGCATTGCATTAATGCATGGTATAGAAAGGATCAATTTGCCTTTAAATTGGAATGCAGTTCAAAGTGACTGAATTCTCCAATTTCAGCCACTATATTTGCCAAAGAACAAACTGGAAAATGGAACTGGTATCATTCGTCTGCTCCTGGTTCACTGGGAGGTTCGGGGAAGGGACTTCCTGTGAAGATAAAAGCAGAGTAGTTTGTTGATAAGCTGTAATGACCGCTAAATTTTACAGTCTGAAGCAGTGTAGGTTTACTTTTCAATTCATTTAACACAGATAAGTTGTGAGAAACAATATCGGTTTAAAAAATCTTTATCATTAAGTCATTGATATCCCCTGGTAATCACAAGTAGGCTGATTTATAGGAAGGTTTGCTAAGTTTTGCTGATAAATATATATATCATGGCTGAACATGCCTACTCTGTTACTTTTAAATAGCTTAAACTGGATAAAATAGTTCAACCATCTCTAAACCTTTTAGACCTGAAAAATTAATACAATGTTTTGGATTTTAAAAAAATCCCAAACAACAAAGGAAACCATCATGTTCCTCTTCTAGATATTACCTCTAGGACACCAGTGACTAGATGAACAAACATATTGTATAACTATGTATATATATTATGTACAATTTGTTTCCAAAATCAGATTATTTCTGTGGTTCTGGCTTATTGTGTAAGGTGTGATCAGCAGTGCAGAAGTACAGCAAATGGCATCACCCTCCTAGGAAGTTTAAATCTGAACATAAAATTCAGTTAGTTGTTTGAGTCAGCTGTAGCTCACTGGGGAGTAAAGACCTATGTTTGTCCATACTGCTTCCTCTCAAATGTTTTGGCCCACGTTTTCAGCTGATTTGTCCATTGAAATTCTTCAGTGGAAATTATTATGTTGTTCTCCAGAAATCTTCAGGGTTCTGTTTTAATCATTTAGCTGTCCTTATGTGTTTCTAAAGCAGATTGATCTGGTTGATCTCCAGAGAAGTCACAATCGCATTGTTTAAAATACCCCGCTTAACGTGAATTTTTCAGAGGTCTGTCCCAAGCTGTCTCTATATATGTAAGGGACTTGGGAGATAAAGTCTGAGAGAAATCAGCCTCGGTGACTGACAGAGTCAAATTACAGGAATTTCATGTCATCTTGTATCAGTGTGTCACCAATAGAGATACTTCATCCCTGTTTTGAACCTTCAAAATAAACAGCTATGTCATAGTGACTGATACCAGTTCCATTTTGCCTACCAACTCAGTTGATTTTATATTTTATTTCTCATTTATGATGGAATAATCAGCAGCTCTTTTTCTCATTTATTTTCTCATATTTTTATTCCAGGATTTGCCTCTGAAGCAGGGAGTGTCTGCATTAAAAATGACCTGTAGTTCTCTGCTTCATAGGTTAGAAACTTATTTTAATATTTTGTGGCTAAGCACAGTCCCGTCTTTTTCAAAAATAAAAATTTCCAACAATAAATGGTTTAATTGGCATTGAATGTGGATTATAAGCATTTTGCATTGGGGCTTCCATTATTTTAGATGAAATGGCTTCTACACAAATAATTAGTCCAGCTGAGGCAATGAAAGCTCTGTTTACTTGCAGCCATTTTTATGAATTAACATTAAGTTTTTAAAAAGTTGATTGCAGTGGATCATCCTAAGTCTTGTTTGGACATTTCCAAAGTGCTGTATTGGATAGGCTGTATTGCTTTACGCATTTACATTCCAAAACTTTCCAAATTCCAAATATTTGTTGGGGGAAAGAAATTGGTTCATAAATCACTTTATTTCAATGGGACTGCTGTAGCCAGCACACACAGAACCATGTATCTTGTATTTACTTCCGAATTATACACCGCAGATGCTTCTTCAGCTCCTTCCTCTTCCTCCATGGGCGGTGCTTGCAGCTCCTTTACCACCTCTTCCAGTCCTACCATTTACTCTACCTCAGTCACCGACAGCAAGGCTATGCAAGTGGAGAGCTGCTCCTCAGCCGTGGGGGTAAGTACCAGAGGGGTAAGTGACAAGCAGTTAACCAGTAACGCAGTCCAGCAGCAGCAGTCAACGCCGAAGAGACACACAGTCCTGTACATCTCGCCACCACCTGAGGACTTGCTGGACAACAGTCGGATGTCCTGCCAGGATGAGGGGTGTGGATTGGAGTCAGAACAGAGCTGCAGTATGTGGATGGAGGATTCACCCTCCAACTTCAGTAACATGAGTACCAGTTCCTACAATGATAACACTGAGGTGCCACGTAAATCACGCAAACGAAATCCAAAGCAGAGGCCAGGGATCAAACGTCGAGATTGTGAAGAGTCCAACATGGATATATTTGATGCCGACAGTGCCAAAGCGCCTCACTATGTCCTTTCGCAGCTCAGCACGGACAGCAAAGGCAACTCAAAAGCAGGAAATGGGTTGGTATCTGCTTTTTTTTTTTTCCTCCCCCAAAAAAAGTCCTATCGCCACATGTAAAACCAAACTAATAAAACTCCCCCTGTGCCCCGACAAGTGTTCTGCTCAGGTTCTCACATAAATCCCTTCCCTTCTCTGCTATTCCCTTCTGCGTCCTAGGCCATGAGAAGTTCTCCTTAGACTTGTTAATCTTTATTTAGCACATAAAGCTAAACTTCCCTGTAACAATTGGATGCAGCATTGACGAGCTCATCTGTATTCTTGTTTGAGTGAAATTCCTGAGAGATTGCACAATTCCATTTATAACACAGCAATGAAAATCTTTTTGTATTTAAAAAGAAAGGCAGAGGTGGACTGGACGCACCCAAACTCTTGATGGTTTTTGTAGGATTTTATGTGAGGATTTCAGTCTGTACACTTTACCTGCTTCTGTTTTTCTCTATTTATCAAATAGAGTGAGTGATAGGAGTAGAAGTTAATGGCTTGTTAAGATTTCTCATCATTTAACACATCCTTTTTATAAAATGTTAAGGTGATACGGTGAACAAGATTTTGTTTTTTCATGTGAATTCACTTCTGTATTTGATTTTTTTCAGAAATAAATCTCTGTTTCTGTTTCTATGCTTCTGGGTTGTGTGCGTGCGTGTGTCTGTACGTGGGCACGCCTGGGTGGTGGTCTGTCATCTCTCCCACTTCACATTGTTCACTAAATGCATTTCAGTAGTTGCTGAAAGAGGATTAAGTCCATCAGTTTACAGTACTGTGTTGATATATTTTGGTTTTTTTTAATTTTAATTTTTAACTTGTAGCTTCTACAGTACTTTTAGCATGGTCAAGTGGATAGATTCGGCTTTTTTATTTTGGGATTTTTTTTTTTGAAGGGTTGTATTTTGTTTCTGTTTTTACTTTTATGTGTGTGCTTGCAGTATGTTCTGATGTTCATGGTAACAGTGAATATTGAAATGTGACTGGTGGGAAACACTATGTTTTTTTTTGGAAAGAGCCTGGAGTCTGTATTCTTGGGGTCATTGCAGTTCCATACTTAAAATTGCACGCTGAGAAAGTGATACTGAGAAACTCTCCAGAGTGTGGTGGCCTGGGCACAGCACTGGGAAAAGCTGAGCTGGTTGATACTGGGAGCGCTGTCTCTGCCCCCCGCTCCTGTCTCTGCGGACCTGTGGGTCTTCTGGTCCCTTCTCCCAGCAGCAGCTCTAAGCTTGACTGCAGTTGTCCAGCATCTCTCATTTGCACCAGCTGGAACTGATAATAAAGTAAACTGTTAGCACCTGGTAGACCCAAAGAAGCAAATTAGCATATGTAAAGCAGCTGTTTGGATTGGAACTAGGGATCTGCCTCCACCGAGCACAAAGGAGGCCAGGCTGTCCTTTACAAAGGGAAGAAACTTGGTCGAAAGGCAAGAACTGTGTGACTGTAAATGTGATCTGTGGATGGAAAGGGGAGATTTAGTAAACGCTGGAACAATATGCGTGAGCTCAGTCCAAAACATCACAAGACTGACTATAACATTCCCTAAAATTCTAGGGGTTAACCAGTGAACGTTCATCGGTACTGTCAGCAATACGCTGGGAAAGCAGAGGTCGATAAGCATAATTTTTCTCTGATGTGTTGTACGCAGGCCAGATTGAACTGCGGCAAAACTCTTATGTAACAGAATTGTCCTTTTAAATAAAAGCTCTGGGATAAGAAATGGCGAAGATATTACAAAACTTAATTTTGCTGTTAGAATATGGAGATTTAGCATTACAAATCTAGGTCACAGTAGTGACTGGTTGTGTTGTTTGTCCTTTTTTTTTTTTTTTTTCTCCAAACTTTCCAGCCTGATGGAGTTCAGCCAAGGGAGTTCATTTACTTTTGGCTTTAAGAAAAGAGCAAGGAAAGCACTGTTGCTAATTTGTGAGTGGAAATAGCGTTTGCCTCAGAAGAGACTTCTAGTCAGTTGTCTCTTAAGAGCTAGGAAGGAAAAGAATATATTCCTGTGGAAGTGGTTAGAATTTGTGAAAGCCTCTTTAGAAACGGATGCATTGATGGTGATTTAGGACGAAGAGTCTCAGATTTCCCTCATGCTTGGTCTCACTTTCACTTTCAGGTCTGCACTGGTGTCAGTGCAGGACCAGGCAAACCTTAATTCAGGAAATCTATTCTAACAGAATCGTGGATTTTGCCACTGACATTTCTTTTTAAGAAAAGAAGTGGTAGCTTTGAGGAGACATTAGTAACAGTTAAGCTAATAAATACGTGTGTGTATGAAATATGTTACTATTAGTACGTGCATTAATATTATTATTATAAAGAAACTAAATTAGAAGGATGTGTACATGAGATCCTCGTAATTTGAGAAGAAAGACCTGTGAGAAGTTCTGGTGAAGGCTTTGCAGTTGCTTTCAAGTTCAGCTAATCTGATTAAAAGTAATGATTACTAAATTTATAGAGGGAAGACTTTCAAAAAAAATGTTAGGCAGCATCCCCACATAAATATGACCACGTATAAAATATTAGTATGTTGAAAATTAAGGTAACTAGGCTTTTAAGAGTAACGTACCGTCAGGAGAAGAGAGTTGTGTGGAAAGGCCGAAGAGTTTCTCTTGTGTCACACTGCTAAAAGTTTGCATTTTGACTGTTAAAAGTGAATTTCATTTGCTGGCTGCCGCTCTTAACACTTCCCTTCAAATTTCAAGAACAACTCAGTCTTGTATATTAATTTATGGAGGTGAACTTGCAGGTGTGACGAGGCCAGGCGGAGCAATTGGTGTGATGTTTGTACAGACACGGAGCGTTCTCCTGGGACGCTGCGGTGCCCGGCCTGCCTGCGCGAGGTGCGGAAGGCACGGGTCTCGGGCACCGCCTTCGGAAGGACGCGATGGCGGGTGGGGGAGGGGGGGGGGCCCGAGCTGAGGTTGCCCGGTATTCCTTCTCATGCTCCCTGTGGGAAGCTAAGAGATGGTAGCTCTGTGATTTAAAATTCTGAGTGAGAAAAAGAGAAGATATTCACTGAAAGTTCGTAAATGTATTCCTTTTAATTATTAGTCCACTGGAGTAATGTCCTGACGGGGAGAACAGTGAAAGTGGTTATCTAACAAGCTTGAATTTGATGAGGAGTTTTGCTGAACTTGTACAGAAGTGAAGAACTTAGTGGCATTAATTACAGTTTATTTAGTGTATCACAGGTTTTGTAGATGCTACATTGAAGAAGAATTCTGTCCCTTTTATTCTTCTAAAAGAAGGTATATTTTTACATAGCTTTTTTCTTTTTTAAACAGCCTGTTTGACTAGACTGTGGCAGAGGAATCGGGACTCTTGGCAGAAGGATGGTACTCTCGCAGCCTTCTGTCCCCGCTCGGTCCTGCCTCTCTGCCGTTACCGGGTTGAAGACGAGCGGGCAGGGCAGTGCAGGGCTGCTCAGGGACGTGCGCTGGGCTTCTGTCTGTCCCGGGCTCGGCTGGGTGAGCAGCAGGCTCGCTGGGCCGTCCAGGGTGAAGTGGTTAACTGTCACAGACAGAAAAACATGAATGAAATTCGTACAAAGCACAGGCATCGTAACAGTAACAGCTCAGCAGCGTCGTACACTCTAACCCTTTGTTAGGCATATGAAAAGGTTTTGGAAGGCTTCGTAGGAATAAAAGCGTGACAGATCAGACTTCCAGGGGTATGAGATGGGGTGGAAGCAGGTGGCAAAGTGCCCGACCTTCCCTGGGGCAGGAGAAGGCCCTGCTGAGGGATAAGTGCTGGGCCAGGCCGTGTAGGGGCTGGGGAATGGCTTGGAGGTATTTGCGTGCTCTGTGGCCACGTGCTACTTGTTGCACACGGCAGGAGTTTTAGGAAAGGTGCTGGTAAGGTTTGCTAGTACAGATAGTCTGGTAATTGGGAAGAGAGCACTATGGGTTACCCCAGCCTTCAGGTCCGTGAAAAACGCACACAGTGGCGAAGCTCTCAGTAAGCAAATTTGAAGAAAAAGCATTTCTTTCAGCCTTCTCCCTGAGAAGAAAAAAATCTTGGATAAATGACTTCCGTATGTTGCACATTGAAACAGGATTTGTTTTTTAAGCAGTTCACACCTGTTGTTTTAAACTGCTTTCTTCAGAGTCATTAGCTGTTAGAAACTACTTTTCAGTAGTAAAAAAGAATATTACACATGTATAAATTCATTGAGCCCTTCTTCTGCCTGTACCATTTGCCATGGCACCTTTAAATTTGTCACTGTTAAATGAGTTCATTGGTCTTCAGCTCAGGTTCATTATGCAGACCTGCTCTGTATAAGATCAAGAGCTATTTTCCATTATGCTTGAAAGTGAATACAAAATCAATCGCATGATGTTATGCTTTGGAGGGCTTCTTCATTCGGGTTTTAATTATGGAACTGAACACAAGATACAGTACATGTTAAGGTATGCACCTGGAAAAGAAAGAGTCTTTTTGCATATGCTACAGATTTAAAATTGGTGCAATTATGTCAGAGCCTTTTGCAATAACTAATTTAGTTTTAACATAAATTTATCAATCTGTTTTGACAGAAACTAGTATTTGAGTTTGCATGGATATGCAAGTTCAGGCGGAGACAGGCATGAGGCTGTTTTCCTGTTTAAAGAAGTATCATTTAACCTTAAATCCATTCAGTGTGTGTGTGCGCATATGTATATATTACAGAAGCGAAACAGCTTATTCAGATAATATCAGGCTGTATCATATACTATGAAAAAGCAGGTTGTGAGCTGCCTTCTGTTAGCATGGTTTAATGCTAATTGCTTTTCCCTTCCTTTATGTTTACTCTCTGAAAAGCGGTTCCTATTTGCACTGGATGGAGGAGACAGGGAAGCACCGTTCTTCATCCTGCAGGTTTCCTTCTCTGTCAGAAAGAGAATTCCAAAGTTTGCTCTCAACTATAAGTCTTCTATCCATTAATATGCACTCTTTATCTTTTTAGCTGTTCTGTGATTTCGTTTAACATCTTTTTAATGGTGTCCTTTGACTTCCCAGAGCATCAGAGAACCAGAAGGGAGCTGGAGGGAAGAAGACCCCAATGTTGTGTGGTCAGTATCCGACTAAGAGTGAGGGGAAGGAGCTGAAGATAGTGGTACAGCCAGAAACCCAGCACAGGGCTCGTTATCTGACCGAAGGCAGCCGAGGCTCAGTGAAAGACCGGACACAGCAAGGCTTTCCAACTGTAAAGGTAGGCTGTGTAGTATTAAGAGATGCGGGGATTCCTTGCCAATGGATGGTTTAGTAGAATGGGAACTGGCTCAGTTCAAATAGCCCTCGAATCTCTATTTTCAGAGGAAAGGTGGGGGAGACTTTGCAGTTTCTTTGCTGTAGAGACTGTACTGTATCTCTTCTTGCAGGCAACAAGAAGTCTATTTGCATCACAGAGTTACAGGAGGAAGGAAACTTTATGTCAAGGCAGTGCTATATAATCTGTGATGCAAGTCCTGATAGACTACAGTTGTATGAACTGTGTAAATAGATAGACACTTGGAGCATGCAAAACTAGGACAGTGAAATGCTGTAACTGATTGCTGATGACTGTGGGTCATCGTTAATGCCTTATTGGTAAGGACATAAAACTAGGTTTAATTTAAAAAAAACAAAAGTGTTTTTGGGGTGTGTGGTGGGTTTTTTTATTTGTTTGATTTTGTTTTGGTTTTGTTGGGTTTTTTTTTAGTAGGAAATATCTGAATCCACATACCTAGTGTCTGTCTTTCAAGCAGAGCCATAAAGACCGAACAGCGATACACTTTGTGGGCCATACTGCTCAGTGTGTTTAGCAGTAGTGAAGTACACGTGGATTAGCAGAACTGGAGAATGAGGGGAACAAAAGAGGAAGCAGTTGTATGCATGCTTAACAAATGCAGCCTGTTTCCTTTATAGACTTCGATGCCTGAAAGTGTAGGTGCTGTTGATGATCACTTGCAGGACTGACTTGTCCCGAGTCCTTCTCATTGAGGGGGGAAGGGTCTGGATACAGCAGGTGCAGTAAGTGCTTCTTTGTTCGTCTTGCTTCATTTGAAGCGGAGAAAGGGACAATGGATGTAATTCACCTTACTTGGAGGGGGATAATTGTGATGAGGCTTGCCAACCTGGTGAGGGGTGCTTTACTGTAAGTTTGTCAGGATGGGGACCAAAGCCCAGAAGGAAAGGAGGAGCTACAAATGGAGGAGAAATGCGAGGAAGGCTGCAAAGAGGCCTTTCACATTTCCTGCTCAGAAGGGAGAACGTTCAGCAGCTGTCCTTCATTGACTACACACTAATGCACGGAGCGTGATTTTGCAGGTCTTGTTTCTTCCCTTGTGTAGTCACAGGGCTGTGACTTGACTGGAATTGCAGAGACTTGGGGTAGCACACAGGGCTGGAATGCAGTCGAGGATGTGCACCAGCTCCTTAGAACGAAGAGAGGAAGCCGTGTATTGTAAGGAGCTCCTTGACTGCACAGGCCTCCAGCCTGAAACTGGACACTGGCCTGTTGCGATCGAGGAGGGAGGAAGCTCAGGGGTAATGGTTTGTGTAACTGTTACAGACTGCCTGACTGAGAAAATAACAGGTGATGCTTTCTATAGGTAACTAACAGCAGTCTGCTGCTCACAGACCTCTCTCACTGTGAAAGATTTCAGCCGTGTGTCCATCTGCAAGGATGGCTACATAGCCTGGTGGAAGCAATTGAAGAACTTTAGGACTGTCCTTGTGAAGGTTTCCAGGTGCAAGTGGTAGAGAAGCTTACCAGGAGTAATGCTTTACTTGACTTACACAGAGAGAAACAGAAGAATGGATGTCAAATATCATCACAAAAGTTGCAGCGACCACAGTGTGAATGTGAGAGTGGACACTGAACTGAATACGAGCCAGCATTGCACACCTGTTGGAACTAAGGCAAAAGGCATCCCAGTCGTATTGGGAGGAGTGTGGCCAGCAGGCCGAGCGAGTAGACAGCTGTATTTGTTACCATACGAACAAGAAAGATAAAACACGTTACCTTTCATGCTTTTTCTTAGTTATGCCACTTTGAGAAAGCAACAAAGCAGTTCTCAATCTAAACTCACGTACCAGGTCCACAAAGAAATGTTTGTTGATGATACAGCCCTTAAAATTTGTGCTGACTATTGCAGACAGTGTATAGAAGTATACTTCTCTTTGAAGTCCTGTTCAACAGTGTCAGAAACATCTCCAGCGCTTCACTGGGTCCTCCTGAGTAATGCAGAAATCCAGTAAAGTTTCGTAAGAAAAGAATCCATTCATATAGTCCTGTTGCTATGGTGATTTAGTGCTCATTTATGTGTATTTTCTTAATGGGCCTTTGTTTGTCTGAATTTCCATTTAATTCCTTTCCCAGTTACCCTTTAGCACCCAGTAAAAATTCTGTTTGGAAGAGTCTCGTGTTACTGAATTCCTGGAGGCTCAAGCTTGCTTTGCCAGTAGTCAAACTAGTTCATGCCCTGCGTATACACGTGTGCCGGGGTTGGACAGACAGAATGACTCCGTGGATTTTCAGGAAGCCTGAGCTAGGGGAAAAAAAAATACATAAAGGACAAGAGGGTTTTTTGTCTTGATTGTTATTTTTTTGGGGTGCATTTTAAAGATGGGGAAGAACAGTGTAAAAGTGTTGCTAGTTCAATAGAGATCTGGTGCTTGCTCTTCTCTGGCAGCATCTATGATGGGCAACTGTTCAGGTGCATCCTTCTTGAGCAGACTGAGGAGGAGAAGCAGGTTCTCTCACCCCTGAAGGAAAACCGTGTTACTGGATGACTTAGAACTAGAGAGTCTACAATCAATATGCAACACTAAAATTGTATAAACAAACCTTAGTCAAGTGACTTGTGTGACAGAAGAAAGATTATCCTGAATGGAAAGTGTCATCGGAGGTATTCCAGCTATCAGCAGCAGATTTTCATGTTTTCTTGCTAACGGTATTGCAAAGCTGGAGTAGTTACCACACAGATGGTGAGAGATGCTCTTGCACACCTTTCATGTCTTCTAACAAGAACACCAAGGAAGAAAAGCAATGCTGGTTAGCTGTGGTGATGCTGTTTCTAGCCAAGGAGACCTTGGTGACGTGACACAAAGACCATTCAGCTTTCCATGTAGAAGAGATTCCATGGTGGAATATATGAGTGCCCTTCATTCTCCGCTTCCCGTTGACCACCTGGTGAAATGGAGTGCTCTCTTGTTCTGTGTCTTCGTGATTCCTTGTTTACTTGTGTTCTGTTGGCTTTGAGCTCTTTGGTATGAACTGTACCTGTCAGCCTGTGGTTCAGATGTGGGAGCCTGTACCTGGCCACCTGCAGAAATCTTCCAGCTTTGCCCATCCGTAACAGGTCACAACCCGCCTACCTGCTGTAAGCTGATGGCTGCTTTTGGACAGGAGGAGCATCCTATGGTGTTACCAGTATTGGCTGATTTTTTTGTTTTCTTTTCTGTTTTCAAATTTTCTAAGTGTGTCAGGGCCTAATCCCCTAAGAGATCCTCTGGAGGATTCTGCTCTCATTTGCATTCCTTACTAATAAAGATTGAGCTTCTTTCTGCAAGTATTGACTGAGCTTCCAGGCCTAGGACGAAACATAATATTGTCACCCAGAAATCCTCTGGCGACAATTGTGGCTTAATGAAAACACTGAAAATACTTGTTTTATCTCCTCCTAGAATGCTGTGGCAAAGAATTTCCATCTCTGCCCTGGGAATTTGGCAGCGATCTAGTGTTTCTTTGTACTTGGAGTATTTTTCTTCTATTACATAAAAAGAATAAGAGTGGTCATTTTATAACACAATGTCCAGGTTTACTTCAAGGCTTCTTTTACATCAGAGTATTTTTAGTATGTAGAACCAAAGTGGGGTTCTGCTAATAAAAAAAAGCATTAAAGGACACAAACCCTTTCATGCTTGGATGTTGATGTTCTAAAAATGAATGCGTTTTTCACTGACGTGTTCTGGGATAATTATGGCTTGCACATCGGATTGCAGGAGGACTGCTAAATCATTATGTGAAATGTGTGTCTGGCCTGCTTTTATTTATTGTTTCAGTGAATCCTAACACTGTTCATAAACTTTATGTAGGAGCTGTCAAATTGCCATTTTCAAATTTTTATTTTGGTGTTTGAAGGAAGACTAGGTTTGCATGGTTGGACCATACAGTCATTCATCCCGTTCCTCCCTCTGCTTTACTCCTTGTCCTGTTCTGCAAGCATTAGACAATTTTAATCTGTTTTTGCAAAGATTGCAAGGTGCGGCTGGCATGAAGATGGGGTCCTAGAAGCACAGCATGCCGATTTATTGATCGGCGTGCACATACTGACCAATAAATTCTCATCAGTTTTGGAACCAGCCACAGCAAATGTTCTCTTTCTCAGCGGGCCGGTGGAGGTAGATGCTGGTGGGGAAGGAGAATTCTGGAAAGAGATGGAGAAATCTCATGATCAGAAAGTCACGGCTGGGGTTGAGAGTAAGGGGACATAAGAGACCTGAAAGTTGGACTTGGGATAATTCTGTATGAAGATAGATAGGATTCAAGTTGGTTTAAAAATAAAATATTAATAATAATAAGGAAAAAAATAATTTTACCTGTTTATTAAACAGATGACTTGTCTTTTGATGGAAGAACAAATGACAAAAGATAAAAAAATTAGCGTTTTGTTTATGAATTAGATGAAAAATTTTTGTTGCATCTTCCCCTAGGATTGTTTCCAGCAACACTGGCAGCAGACTCACTTCAAGTTCAGCTGCATAAAATGTTTCATGTTTTAATTAAGAGGCATTGCTGGCCAATTGGAATATTTAATTTGTGTTGCTGTGTTTCAGCTGGAAGGTCACAACGAGCCGGTGGTGCTGCAGGTATTCGTGGGCAACGACTCTGGGCGAGTGAAGCCACATGGGTTCTACCAGGCCTGCAGAGTTACTGGGAGAAACACTACTCCCTGTAAAGAAGTGGATATAGAGGGGACTACTGTTATTGAGGTCGGACTGGACCCGGGCAACAACATGACACTTGCGTGAGTAGCATTTCTTTTATTTTTTTTTTTTAAAAATTCATTTATTAGCTTGTTTTCAGAAACTGATTTTCCTTTTTCCATTGGATTGGTTGGTAGTTAGAAGTCTGGAATGTCTTGGCACGCACCAGGCACGTAGTGAAGCTACATGCATAAGCAAAACTTTTAAATTGCATTCTCAGTTTGTGTTTATTATACTTGATGCTTAATCTGGTCTTTCCTAAAACTTTATCAATTATCTTTGTTACATTAGTTTCATGTTCTGTTTGACCAATAATGTGCGTATTCATGCATTATGTAAACTATAAACTGATCACTGGTGCTGCTGGTTTTCTTGTCTTGTAACAAGTACAGAATTGCTAATCACAGAATGTTGGGGGTTGGCAGGGACCTCTGGGGATCACCCAGACCAATCCCCTGCCCAAGCAGGGTCACCCAGAGCAGGCTGCACAGGACCTTGTCCAGGCAGGCCTTGAGTATCTCCAGAGAAGGAGACTCCACAGCCTCCCTGGGCAGCCTGGGCCAGGGCTCCGTCACCCTCAGAGGGAAGAAGTTCTTCCTCGGGTTCAGCTGGAGCTTCCTCTGCTTCAGTTTGTGCCCGTTGCCCCTTGTCCTGTCGCTGGGCACCACTGGAAAGAGTCTGGCCCCATCCTCCTGACCCCCACCCTGCAGATATTTAGAGGCATTTCGAAGGTCCCCTCTCAGCCTTCTCTTCTCCAGGCTGAACAAGCCCAGCCCCCTCAGCCTCTCCTCGCAGGAGAGATGCTCCAGTCCCCTCCTCATCCTCGTAGCCCT